TTCACGCCGCCGGGGGACCTCGAGGCCGCGGCGCCCTCGCTGGTGGCGCCCCGGCAGACGCTGCGGCCCCTGACCGTGCGCAACCCCACCCGCGCGGGGCGCCTGAAGGAGTACTTCGTCTTCCGGGTGGGCGCGCGGCGCGCATGCGCGGCGGGCGGCGGCCACGCCCCCGGGGCCGCCCGCGTAGACTGCGCTGGGCTAGGGAGGCTCGCGGGCCTGGGAGGTGACTCCCCGCCAGCAGTCTCAGCAGGCCAGCATAAAGCTGGTCCTTTAAATAGAGATATAGCTCTATATATATTAGGGGTTTGTGTGTGCGCGCGTGCGTCTGTCTATATACACACACACACACACACACACACACATATACATACAGTTATATGCATTTATTGTATGCCACCAGAGTCAGGTTGTGTAAGAGAGGCGGCTATATAAATATGATGAAATAAATTATACACACACAAACAGAGAAACATATATATTCGTGTGTATATATATAATTTAAGGAAATGACTCCTCGCCACCAGTCTAAGGAGGACAGCATAAAGCTGGCCCTTTAAATATAAAAGATATTTAATATCCTTATATAATGTGTGTGTGTGTGTGTGTGTATTGTGTATACATTTATCGTATGCCACCAGTCATGTTTTGTAAGGTAGGCGGCTGTAGAAATACAACGCTGTCTATATAATTTGTGTCTATATATGGGGCTGTGTATGCGATTCATAGAATCTATGTAATACATATATGTTGTAGAAATTATATAATTTTATATAAAATATATAAACATAGGAGGCAGGAGTATTTAAGTACGTTTGCTGCCTTGAGTGAGCCAAATATTTTTTAAAAAGTGGGGAAAAAATCTCATTTTTTGTTTGTGTGTGTGTGTATACACACACGTGCGTTGTACAAAAATTAATATCTCTGGATCTTTTAAGGCAACGTGTATATTTGTCCCCCCCCCCAGCCCCTTTTAACAAGCCTCTATGGTGGCCTAAGCTGTTAGATCATGGCTGGATCAACGTTTCCAGCATCTTTGCATTTAAAGGCTGGGCTGGGCTCTGCTGTCTTTTAATCCTCGCTTTTCACTATAATATTAAGTATAAACTTCGCCTGGGCTCTTCCCTGGCCTGAAACACAAACGGATCCTGGGTTCGTGTAACGGGTTTATTGTTCGAAGGAGTCTTCGTAACAGGCAAATGTTGTTAAAAGGCAGAAGCATCAGAGGCGTAATAATCTGATGACGCTTCTGGTTTTAATAACATTTCTTAGCAGGAAAAGCTGCTACTATAGACTTGCACAGATTTCCTCCTGCAGTGTCTGTAGATTTCGTTTTGGGACAGACACCCTAATTCAGTGTTGTCCAAACTTGGCCACTTTAAGACGAGTGGACTTCAACTCCCAGAATTCCCCAGCCAGCCATGCTTAAAGTGGCCAAGTTTGGACAACACTGTCTTAACACTTCGTCTTAAAGTGGCCAAGTTTGGACAACACTGCCCTAATTCATTCCCACGTTTGCTCAACCTGTAGCCAACCAAGGAAACTAAGTTCACACAACTTGCTAAAAGGTTGCTTTGTGTCTTCTGGGAATGCCCTCGTTGGACAAGGAGGCATGCTTTTCAAGCCTGGTTACCCCTCTCTTTAAACCTAACATTTCTAAAGCGGCGAGAGATTTGGGGTGTTGGAAGCGGGTGACTCAAATTTCTCACCTTTAATTCAGCCAGGAACCATTGAACAGGCCGTCAATGAGATCCGGCTGGTTGTGATGCCCGCGGAGGACGGAGAAGTCCAAAGCGTGTGGTTGCTCACCGAGTAAGTAAGAGTCCTGAAACCATGTGCCCCAACCCTGCTGGCCTTCCACAGGGCGTTCAAAAACGTGACTCTGCGGTCAAGCCTGGGGCCCGGATGGCGTGGGTGAGCCCCCTTGGTTATACCGATTGTGAGATGTTGCGATTGTTCTCGGCTGCTATTTTTATGCTCTGTATCAGTTGCGGTTTTTATTTTCACCGCCCGCCGCCCAGAGTCACGTTGACGAGACGGGTGGCTGTGTAAACTTATTAAATAAATACATATTTCAGTGTTTTTCCCCCTTCTCATCCTTTGAACAAAAGGCAGCCCTCGACATCTTCGAGTCCCTGTTTAATTGCAGGCATTGGGGAGGGAAGCTGAAGACCGTCTGGATGACCTCTAGGCAGGATATGACCCGAGCAAATAAAAGGGGGTGATGCCATTGACAAGCAGGTTGAATTCTTCCCCTTCTCCATGTGAGGGAGGGGACCTATCCCTCACCCTTACCCAAAGTAGCATCAGAGATGGACGCTTTTGCTTAACTTCCTCCTTGGTGTGCTTGGAAGATTTAGGAAGGAGAAAACAGCTCCTTTTAGTTCTGCGCCTCTTTATTTGGGTGGCATTTAGCCGAAGACGACGACAGATCTATTGCAATAAAGCTAAGTCTCCAATTAAACTAGGTCAGACTTGCGTATGGTTTTCAATTTATCGTTCTGTCCTCCAGTGTTGCTATTCTATTATCCCAAAGGAAATTAGCGTCAAACAACACTTTTCCAAGCCTGTTTAAGCAGAAGAAATAAAACTCTGCCGATGCGTTTTCTTTTCCCCGCTTCTGCAGAATCGACCACTGGAACAACGAAAAGGAACGCCTGGTTCTGATTACCGACCGCTCTCTTCTGATCTGTAAATACGACTTTATCAGCCTGCAGTGCCTGCAAGTCACCAGAATATCCCTCAACGCTGTCGATACCATTTCAGTGGGCCAGTTTGAATTCCCTCCCAAGTCACTCAACAAGTATGTCCTCTGCAGGTTTGGGGAGAAGGCGGCCTCGTTTGCTTTTCTTCTTTGCGGTCTCTGGAAAACAGGGCTGCTAAAAAGAATTGGGACTCTTAAGCGATCTGACAGCTCCCAGAGATCAGATCCTCACCGAGGATTTTTTTAGTTTAACTCATCCCTTTTCCAGTTTAGCTGCTGATTCTGAATCCCTACAGATTTTTGTTTGGACGTTTTCAGGCAGGATATCCACCCCTTGGTCTTTCTCTCCCTTTAACGTGGAGAGAGGAGCAGAGCATGTCCCCTAAAGCAGCTTTAAAAGGGGGACTCGGATCACCGTAGAATAGGCAAGAGACGGGGAAGCTGAAATGGCCGCGTGAGCGAGTGTGTTCTTTCTCGATCCGCCAGGCGAGACGGCGTCGGCATCCGAATCCAGTGGGACAAACAAAGCCGGGCCTCGTTCATCAATAGATGGAACCCCTGGTCCAGCAACGTGCCATATGCTACCTTTACCGAACACCCCATGGCCGACGCCGACGAGAAGATTGCATCTCTTTGCCAGGTAAGATACGGTGATCTTGGTTTTTCAAGGTGCCTCGAGTTTAGATGTCTCAGGATAGGAAGAATCTAGGACAGTGTTTCTCAACCTCAGCAACTTTAATCCCAGAATCCCCCAGTCAGCATTGGGGAATCTTGGGAGTTGAAGTCCACACAGCTTAAAGTTGCTGAGGCTGAGAAACACTGGTCTAAGAAAATGGGGCAGGCCAGCATCTTAAAATGCTGTCTTCGAATCGGAAGGGCAAAAACATACCCTTACCCACTTTTTCCCCTGTTCAGGCTTCCTCGGCGTAACGCAGCCCAACCGTGGCAAGCAATTCTGGAGAAGCCAAAGGTTGTCCGCAGGTGCAGGAGGGTAGCTCCCGTGCTAGCTGGGGGTGATGGGGGTTGTAGTGTCAGATTCTTTCCAAGAAGCATTTTTAGAGGTCTTATGGTAGGAAAGCTGGTTGGCCGGTGTGAACAAAGTAGTCCATTCATCTAAATTCAGTCCAGTTTCATTGCCCACACTCAAGCTGTTTGAATGGCGTGATTGTAAGAAGTCCCAAAGTAGATTTCCCTAGGGGCCAAAATGCGATGGTGTGGTTTCTTCAAAAACAGCCAGGCCCTCCTCGTTGTGCAAAATTAACTTTGTTCCCCATCATGTTGTCCCACCAAGCCAGGCTTAAACCCACAAAGCGCGCAATCAGACCTCTCCAACTGGAAACCCGTTGGGTCTCTCTCCAAACGATTCAGAGGTTCTGCGGGGGCAATGCAGCCCTCCAGCATTCCTGTTTTTCTTTTTTCTTTTCCAGTTGGAGAACTTCAAAATCCAGCTGGTTCAGGCTGTCAAGAAAGCCCACAAGGAGTGTCCTCTGCCAGGACGGGCCAACGGCGTCCTGCTCCTGGAGCGACCGCTTCTCATAGAAACCTACGTCGGGCTGATGTCTTTCATCAACAATGAAGCCAAACTGGGTTATTCGATGACGAGAGGGAAGATTGGATTCTAAAAAGCAAGGTGAGGTCACCACTGCCCCCCTGGAAGAGGAGAGTAGAACAAAGCCCGTCGATTTTTCCCCCCAGCTCATCATAAAATCCATCGGACGGATCAACGCGAGAGACGGCCGTATGGAGCAGTTACCATTTTTCAGTCTGCGTGGCTCCTCTGCTCTAACTACAGTCTTTTTCCTCTCCTGTAGTGTATCTCAGATAATTGTACGTTTTAACGCATGCTCTGGGTTTCTCCCCCCTCCCTATGTAAACATTAGCCTGGGTTTCCTTCTAGCGGGATCACTGCTTATTTCACAGAATTTATAGGGATCGCTTGACAGTCTGGCGGCTTGTAAGTCTCCACGTGGCCACTGAATTACTTCTCGTCTCTGGCAAGCCCGCCTGATGCGTAAGCTGGGCTGGAGCTGTTGTGTCTGTGTTTAGAGACCGCGTGTGCAGTTGAAATGAAGACCTGTCACGCAAGGGACGGCTTCTCCCGAGCGTGCCGCTGTGACATTTCACACAACAGTTTCTTAGGAATTTTGCGTCGTGCAGAATCACGTTTTTGTATTGATAGGGGAAAAGGGAATTTTTGATCTGCTTTAAAGATGCCTTTTCAGTCTAAAAGCAGGGTACTAAAACTACCAAAGCATGTGTATAAAAGCAAGGCAAGAGAAACGAGAATTTCCTCATGGTTAAAACTGTCCAACCTTCTCTCTCGATTAAAGCCACCCGGTGCTGTTGTGTGAATCCCAGAGCTTGGAAGCCAAAAGGGAATGTTAAATTTGTAGATCCTGGTTCATCCAGGCCAAAACTCAGGAGGCCCTTCCAGACAGAGTTGTATTGGAGGAAAAGGCCTACTGCCACACGGGGAACAGTCGCTTTACAAGCATGAACTTTGTTCTGGGTTCCAGTGACTGCTTTTCAGTTTAATTTCTGCATTCCTTCAACTGTCCGTAACTGAAAGTTTGACACTCTGCTCCCCAAGCACCGATCATCCAATATCTCTTAGTAATTCGCTGAACGGGGGGTCTTTCGGCAGTGTTCACAGCAGATGGAAGGCTGCTGGGATGAGACCAGATGTACGTCCTTGTTTGCGTTTTAAGCTGTGTATACTGAAGCTTAATAAAACTGAACTCAATATGAACCGCAGAAGCGTTAACTCGTGACTCCTGGACTTCGTTTAAATGGGAATAACTACGGCTTTTCTGGGCATCAGAGGCTGGATTTTAACAAGTTTAAGGTCTGGTTTGTCTCGGGGGACAGGGACCCACATGGAGCTATGCAAGCAAGTGGTGAGTGCACTCAAAAAATGATTGCCATGGCAGGCACACCCCTTTACCAGAAGGTTAATTAGACCCCCAATGCTCTGTAGCGTCTGAGTAGGATTTTTGCGGGGAGCAGGATAGTGCTGCGAATAAAATACACCTCTTATAACGCTTTGCTGGATCCCTCTTCGTTACTGTTTCCTTAATATGATTTTTTAGACGGGCGCAGAGGCTTCATAAGCCATGACTCAAGGCCTCTTGGGAGGTTAAACGAGCAAAAAGCTTTCTTAGCCCATGATACCTTTTAAAACCAGGCCGAAGATTGCAAAAGCTAGCAGTGCCCAGCCAACACTGGCTGATCTTCAAAAGCGCTAAGCTGGGTTAGAGCCATTTAGAATGTGGATGGGAGACCACTAGGAAGTCCTATGGCTGCAGCGAGCCACTTCCATAGGGTTGCCAAGACAACTACATGGATTGGAGTTGAGTTGAGTTGGACTATCTTTTCTCAAATGGGGGACGGGGGAGGAGAAAGACTAATAGAAGGAAAGGTCATGTTTCCCCTTGCTTCCTGTCTCCCTATCTTTCTCTTCCTTCCTTCCTCTCTCCTTCCCTTCCCTTCCCTTCCCTTCCCTTCCCTTCCCTTCCCTTCCCTTCCCTTCC